TGAATCCCACCAATAAAACCTGAATTAAGAAAACAATCGCAAAGGTCGCATGTGTACGTCTCGGGCTTTTTTAGCGTCATTGCAGATAAAACTGAATTTCTTCTTCAAGAGCTGCGACCAAAGCGTTACGGCTCTCAATAAGTTTTTGACTTTGAACAGTTTTTAAAATTTCTTGTCGCTTTTTCAAAGCGACAACCCTTTCTTCTATAGGACGATCGATCTGCTTATGAGTACTTCCAATAAAGGTTTGAAGATCTTTTATCTTATCAAATTCTTGATTTAAGGCTTCTAGAAATTCCGTTGGATTTTTTTCTAAAAGGGTTACAACATCTTCACGCATCGCCGTTGTAAAAGCTCCATCCCCTAAGTGCCACAACCTTGCAATAAAAACGGTTAAGTCAAAAACTTGAGGGCTCCAGCTAAAAATTTCCTGGTTCATGTAAGCGTCAATAATCACGTTTTGAAAACCACAGCGCTCTAAAACACCGGTTTTATTATAAAACTCTTCCGCCGGATCAGGAATCGCGGCAACAAAATCTCTAAAGGCTTCTTCTGTTGGGGAATGGTCGAAGACGCTATAAGCCTCCATCGCTAAACGCCACAAATCCATGCACCGACGACTTCCCGCAGAAGTAATGGCAGGAAGACCTTCTATAATAGGAAAACACTTCTGACGATTTTCCTCGATTGCAACATCTAATTCTTGATTTTCTCTTGAGTCGCACCCTGATAACAAAAGAACGAAAATTGAAAGGAGGAACAAATAAATTTTCATAGAAGTATCCTCCCTCAAAACTCCTGCATAAGCATTACAGATACGCACGATATTACAACAAATACATTCAGGTAATCTTTTTATTCTAAAAAGGATAAAATTTTACTTCTTTCTAATAACTTTTATCTCTTCTGAGTGTTTTCAAGTGCACACTAGTTGATCCGTCCTTTTAGCGCTTCTACCCTTTCGTAGCTTTCCAAAATTCGTTGTCTGTCAATTTCCCCTGTTTCGACTTGCTCATAGATAATGTTGACCACCTCTTCTGGTGTAAAATCCCGGAATCCTCCATTGTCACCTTTAAACTGAGACAAATTTTTAAAGAGAAGTAAATCGTGCCCTGCATTCAAAGAACGTGTCAAAATATCCCGCATAGAATACCCATTGTGCCCCAAGAAAACCTCCTCTGTCCCTTGGTCGATGGTTGCTTTTAATGTCTCGCCCCGAATCGATCCCATTGTTAAATCATCTGTAATAATACATTCTCCAAACCCGATCTCATTTCTTAAGATGGAGAGAACATACGGAGAAAACGTTGCAGGTAATTCGCTTTCATCCCCAATAACAATATTATGGGTTGTCATGACCATCGGAACATCTACGTTAGCAACAACGTGCTTATAGGTCTCCTTAAACTCCTCTATAAGAATAGACCGTGTCGCTTTTTCATGAGAATCCGTAGAATCAACAATCGTTCCACAATCAGGGAAATGTTTTGCACAAGGAATGACGCCCTCTTCCCAATGAGATTCTATAAAGAAAGGCGCAACTTCTCGAATGATTTTATGGCTTCCGAAAGAGCGTTCCCACTTCCGGATCATATTATCTAGATCATCCATGTTAAAGGTATCAAGCACGAGGCCGAAGTTAACCGTAACACCATACCCCTTAAGTTGAGACGCCATGTTGCGATAAGAACGGCGCATATTTCTTTCTGCAAGAACCTCTGGAAGGCCGCTGTAAACCGTTCCTATCTCATTTGCAGAAGGGGAAAAAACATGAAATCCATTAGGGACATCTTGCTCTCCTATTTTTACAATTCCTCTCTTGATTCTTTGAACAAAGCCTCCTTCATTATCCGTTCCAATGAT